AAACCTCAGAGCTCTGACGTGATAGAAATTTGGAAAATAAGTGATGTTAATCTAATTTTTTTTTCTAGTGATAAGTTTTCTCTGTCCTAGAAAAATACAGAATTGAAAGTGGATATAAGAACAACATTTTTTTTTCTTTCAGGTTGCATTTGACTTGGTTTGAAGTTGACTATGTCCATTCTAGTAGAAAGTGTATATTACAGGATTATATGTAACTTGATGAAAGATTTTTAGGAAAGCTTCCATTAATTTCAGTGTCATGATATTTGTGTAAAAATATCCTATTTGGAAGTTAAAATTTGAAAACAGTAAATTTTGACCTTGGGTAAATGTTGCCTTGTATAATGCAATATATTCAGCCAGTAAAGTAAAAATTGCATTTTACTGGGCTCTAACTTGTGGAAAACATAGTGCATATTGGTTGGCAATGTCTGACAGCTGATATTTATCAAGGCTAACATGAACTTTACTCATTCTTACATTTTCAAGCAGCTTTCAAAGCTCTGCATCTATACAAACGTTCACATGAACTTTACTCAATCTTGCATTTTTAAGCAGCTTTCAGAGCTTAACATGTGTACACATGTTCAGCCTGTCTTGTTGCTTTTATCATTTTGTTCTAGAGATGTTAGAGTTAGGGTTAGCGCAGTGGTGTATCAATACTCTTACTAAGATGAGAATACACCCATAATGATTTTCATTTCTCAAATTTAGTCACAATATAAGCATTTTGTAAACTAGCACTGTAATGTAAAAATGTAAGAGTAATGTTTAAAGATCAAAAATATTTTTTAACTATTAAATGTTTTAGTGGGCTTCAGACTTTCAGTACATGGGATTATATTAAATATGCAATATAATCTTGGAAGCATACATTTCCTAGAAATCATAAAATTAAATATAGTTAAAATGCAGTTCCTTAGTGGAATAAATGCTAAAGCTTTTCTTTAGGTAAATGAAAACGCATGTCAGAGAGAAGATACATTTTCTTTCCAAGGATGACCAATTTTTCTGGGAGCCATTTTGGTGTTGTGGTTAAACAGTTCATCTTCATTGGCTGAATAATAAAAAAACTTGTCCTCCTTGCTTTAGATGTCAGAAAGAATTATGAGATTGTTTTGGAATGTTAAAAGCACGGAATGTAATTATTCTTGTCTAATAGTCCTCTTGAAGAGAAAAATGTCTGGAAGAAATTATTATTTTCATGTTTTTCAGGTTTTCTGTCAGTCCACATAGCTTGCTGGTCTTTCAGACTTAGAGTTTCCTGTTACTTCAGTAACTCAGTGTTGAGGTGGACAGATCACAAATGTTGGCTGCCAAGTAACTAAAGACTGAAGGGGCCTTAAAACTGGAATGGATGAATGTGATTATGATCATCATAATTTTAACTACTAATCAATGGTGAAAGATATACATCTTTTCCTCCTTACTAATATGCTTAATAAAAATGTCATACTTATTTTATTTACTAGTATTCATACTAACCCTTTCAACCTGGAAGACACTTCAAATGACATAAGAAATCATTTTCATTTTTCTTTATTTATATTAGGAAATAATTTTCTTTCTTCTTTAACTAATATCTAAATTGCCAAAGATGAAAGATAAATTAGTGTCTGAAGCCAGTCTGGAATTCAGAGTTTGCTGGACCGCTTTGTTAAAAATTCAAGGTTAAAGATGGGATTTCTTTGCTCCCATTAGGAACCAGCAGGGTTTTAAACCTGTGCATTTTCTGTGTTGTTTTGGATTGACAAAGGTAAAGGCCAACATGAAGAAATTTTCACAGCTACAGCTTTATTCTCTCTTAGTGTCCAGTTTATGCCTTTGTCCACTGTCTCCCTTGCTGGCTTCTTGTTAATGATGTGCTACTTAAGCATTTTTTTATAATCACTGCAGTTCAGTGCAAGGTGCAGTCTTCTCGTTTTTTAATCCTGTACTTCCTGTTTCAATTCATTTTCAGTTCTTCCCATGTAAACAAGCTTTCCACTTCTTGAATGCTAACCTTTTCCCTGTGGCATCCCCTTTAACTTTCTCACAGAGCCATGTAGGTATTTTTTGATATTTTTGTTCTCTGTTCCAAAGGCTATGTAGGTGTAACAGCTATTATCCAGGATTCACTTGAGAGGCAGCATAATCTCTCTCTCTCTCTCTCTCTCTGTTGTTATTATGATACAGTCATAAAAGGGCCTGTGTAATCACTTTTCTGTCTTGAGGGAATGTGTGGTGATGTCCTCACATACATCTAGAGATGTGTAGATTAATATTCCACACTGCTTCTAAGCTGCATGTTGTTTTGTTAAACACAACTAACCTCAAATGACAATTATACCATCTTTCACAATTCCTTTGATTTGTGTGCACAAGCAGTAACTCATTAATTTGCTGCCTTCCTTTTCCTTTTTATTTTCCTGTTAAAACTGTTTGATGAGATACCTGGTTTCAATAGTTTGAACTGGAGCTACAGGTGATGTGATGTAATGAAGAAATGAATACCACATTGTAATGTGCTAGAAGTGTTAGAATATATGTCTCGTGCAGTGTATGTCTGTTTAATGAGGGAAAGTCTATTCATGTTTTCTTTTCCTGTTTCTGTGTCTGAGTTTGTTTCATGACTCCTGCCTGATTCATCTAAAATTTGAAATCAGCAGAGAGATCCAGCAAGAAACAGACTAATTTAGTTATACCACATGAGGTTTCCTGACTGCATTTTACAAAATTATTCACATCTTCGTGTTACAAACAAAAAAGACTTGCGAGCCTTCGTCCCCCACACCCTCCAGTATAGCTGTATAAGGCCTCTATGGTCTCTGTTCATATTGAGATGTCACAGCTGTGTACACTTTTCTGGGTTCTTTTCTCACATGAAACTCTAATGACCATTCCTCCTTTGATTCTTTTCTCAGGCAAATTGGCATAGGCTATACAAAATGAAATTTAGGTCACAAGTTATTTTAAAATTATTCTACTTGAATGAATGGAAGATTTAGCTGCTGATATTTGTATATACTGGAAATCTATCGCAAAATATTGCAGAAGATGGTTGTCATAAAAATATCACCAAAGGAGTGTGCGGTTTTAGTGTGAAATGTAAGTGTGCAGTTGAGTTTTAAAGATGAATTTATGCTATCCTGAAGATTAAAGGCAGGTGTGTTCACCTGCCCTGTTAAAACAACTAGGAATATTAGGAATAACTAATTTTAAATAAATACTTTTAATTTTATGTATTTTAATTTCAATATTACAGGGGATCTGCTTTTCTGTCATGTGTTTTGTTTGCTGTTAACATGGTCCTTTTTCTGTTGCTCTAACTCGCAAACTGGGATGAGTAGGAAACAAATTAACAAGTAATGACAGTCCAAAAATAGATCTGCATGCATTATTTACCAGAGGAACAGGAGATGAACTCCAAGCATCTTCCACCTCTGACCGTCTCTTAACTGAAGTGTCCTGCCGTATTAATAAATGCAAAGTGAAAAAGGTTCAAGTTAATTGTCATGTCTGAGAAATAGCCCAAGAGTGCATGGTGTTTACTAAACATAAGCACTGCAGGAGAGTTGGTAAATGAAACCTGGCAAGGTCTGAAAAATCAGTCTCCCTAAGATAGAACGTTTAATATAAAATGAATGTGCATGAAAATAAGAATATTTAACATGTTGCAGCAAGGTACGTTTCACTAGCATTAGAGATGGCACTTTTTTTTAACTGAAAGTCCTGATTCAGTGAAGTCTCTGAATCATTTATACCTAGTAAATCCCATTTTGGAATGTGAGAGGGAGAAAGGGTAGAGAATGATCAAATGCCTGTGTTTTGGAATAGTATTTTATTAGTTACTGTACTGGTGGGGGAAGTGCTGGATAAGCACTCCACTGGATAAGTGATGTATCAGTACAACAAATATATTTTCCTGTTTGCTTCATAATATAGGTATAGGTGCTTTTTATCTTAAAAGGTAATGAAAGACTTTTTAGTATAAACTAGTTACATGAAAACCTCTTTATTTACTCAGTGTACATGAGTGTCTGTTTCAGTGGTTTGTTTCATTTCACTTAGAGATTCACAAAGCTGTAGTAAAGATTCAGTGGCATTTTTATCTGCTGCATTTGCTCCTTCCTCAGAGGTTTAAAAGTATGTTGGTCTTACGCACTCTAATTTAAAGTGTATTGTATTTGGGTTCTTTTTTTAAAAAGGCACAGTAATTATCTCTGAAACATTTAAGGAAGATTGCAAGTGCTGCCCTTTTTATGTCTTATTTTAAAAAGTAACTATTGTGTTCACCGTATCTGGCACATTATATATAGGTATATTTTTAACCTGAACACATTGTAGTGTGTTTTGTCTTTAGGTGTCTGTCATATTGTTGTTGTCTGTGCCACAGGTAACAATAAGACTTGTCACTTAGCCATCTCATCTGGATTTTAATGTAATGATCTTTCTTTATGTCTTTTACAAATTTGATCAAAAAACCTACCGTATGTAAACTTTGATTTGGTAGCCAGGATGTGTTGGATGCTAAGGTTCTACATGGTGTGAATTGGTTATCTTTGTAGCTCATCCTGAGAGTGGGTAAATTAGTCAAAGGTCGGTATGTTGAACCCATTGAGATCAAAACATGCTGAATGATGTTTTTGTTTGAGTACTCTTGGTTGAGCAGGCTTTAGACAGGAAATTGTATGCTCACGTGTTGAAAGTTGTACTGATGTGAAATCCAATGGGGAAGCTGACTGCACAGCCCCAAATGCCAAGCGCTTAGTGCATGGCTGTGCTTTGATATAAGCACCCTAATAACAAAAACTAATTCATGTAAAGTGGAACAGACCACAGTGTTAAAATAAAATATTTTTAAAATTTGAGATGTTAAGCTGTTGGCTAATACCTCTGTATTTAGAAGAGGAGCGTGTGGGTTTAGTGTAGGGACAAGAGTTGAATGGTCTACTGTTCGATGTATAGCAGAGATGACAGTTACATGAAGTTACATATCATATATTACTTTTGTTTTACAGGATGTGACTTAAAATGAATTCTGATGCTGAAGGTCCTCTGAAAAATATGCAGTGCTTGAATGTTTGCTAAGGATTAGTAAGTGACTGATCTCATATTTGGACTATATATACCTAAACATTTTTAAAGCTACAGTTTAGTATATGAGAAGCATGTTCTTAAAAAAAGAAAAGGATGGGAGGGAAGAAAGAAGAAAAAAACCCAACCCAAACCAAAAACCTTACTGCACCACTGCCAGAAAGTGAAATTGCTCCTTATATTCTTGTGGATTCCTGTCTATGTAAGTGGAAACATCAGTTGTTTCTGTGGTTAGTCTTAGAACAAAAGAATCTCTGCATAATATCAAGAATATTTTGAATCAGAAGTTTCAATACTTTTGATACTTTTTAATGTGTATTTGAGGGAGATAAAATGTTGAAATAACAAATTTGAACTAAGTATACAGAGTTGCAGAATGGAATATCCTGTAGTTTTATTTATTATCAAAATTTCAATATTGCAATCTGCATCTTGCAAAAATGTGTGACTTATATCTTGTTTTTTAGGAGAGAGGATTCTATTTAATATTCTAACATTGTGTAAAATTCCAGGGCATGCTCATGATTCATTGAAATGAACTTGTTTGGTTTAATTCTTTGTAACTGGCTTATTTTGAGTAATGCTAAATTCTGCTTAGTCAATTTCTCAAACAAGAAATCAGCTCAGACAGAAGAGATTCCAAGGATGCAAAATACCACAAGTATACATACTTAATATAGGAAAAACTTGGTGGTTTCATAGAATCAACGAAGTATTTAAAATGTTTTCATGCAAAAAAAACATTATTTAAGAAAATATTTAGGATATGTTTTAAATTAGTATTGTATAGTTGTGCATTTTGCAGGGTAGTCAACTGTTTCAGTGAAACAGATAGAAAAACTAAATCTGAAACATGTAATTTTTGGTATTTTTGGGCCCCTGCTAGGACAAACCCTTCTCACTTGCCATGTCCTGTTTGCTGGATAGATCTTTCATCTACCAGCTACTGAGAGCGGTGGCACAAGGGAATCATGCTTGAGCTGGACAAGGAAATGAGTGCATTGAAAGACAAGGTAGCAGAAAGCAATCTAAGGGATATTAAGTAGTAGCTTTCTAAATTCTGTGGGAGTGAGTTGAGTACGATGAGGTAAGAAATACTTGCATCAAACTGAAAACTTTCTGCTTACTGTGCTTAGTAATTTCAGCATCCTTTTGGCTTGAATGCGCTGTAGGAAATGGTCTAAGGAACTTTCCCCATTGCAAACATACTGTATTGTTGGCATGTGCATCGTTTTCTTGTTATTTCAGGGTGGAATTTTAGAAGACAATGGATTTTGCCCTGTCAAAATACTGAAGCCATGGCAGGTTGGACACTGCTACTCAAAACCGCACATGTTTTCTTTAAAATCTATGGTTTTGTTTGGAAGGCTGTACCATATGCAATAGATGGATTAGTAATTACTGGAACTATTTTATCTGCCATGTGCAAAACCCAGTACCTTTTTAACAACTCATTTATGCTTTTCACTGAGAAGTGAATAGACATATGAAAAGTGTATGGTACATTGCAAAGGGTGTAGGCATGAGCACCTTAATAATAAGGACTGGTGGTTTTTTTCACCAGAGTTACTGCTGAGCAAGAATATCTTTGTTATTTTCGGTTTTCTTGAATTGAGAAGAATGTAGGAAAATTTAAGATTATACATGCAAAGATGTTGCAAATAATCATGGAAGTTTGGAACTTTTGCTCCAAATATTGCTGCCTTCGGTTCCACACCCTCGGTGGGATTAGGAGCATCATGATGGACTGGTTCATTATTGCTACAATCAATGGAATTAAACAGTGCCTTGCTTTGAAGACTTTGTTTTGGGTAATTTATACTGATGTAAAATTTAATAGATTTTCTTGCATTTGCCCAGTTTTATGTAGTAACTGAGCTATTCAGTCAAATTAAGCTATCTTTTAGATTTATTTTAATCATGCAAATAACAGAATTTCACTCTAATTCTTTTCTTTAAAAAATACTTCATTTAGGTAGATAATATTGTGTGGTATCACTAGCAGAGAAGTCTTTTTAGCCATCGTTAGTGGTTCATAGGAAAGAAATAGTGTTGTGGCCTCTTACCTCAAAAAGTAAGTTTACAAAGATGCCTGTGTTAATTTTTTTTTTTCTTTTAGTAGTAAAAATGCATAAAAGTTTCAGCTTTTGAAACCTGTGTTTCAGAGCTGTGTTTTGAAATAATTAACTTCAGGAAAACTCCCCAAACCCCCAAAATAGCCTTCCTTTTGTAAAAACTTTTTAGCCCATTAGAAATTACAGGTTCAGCTTCCATGAAGAAATAGAACACCTGGTACTTTCAAAAGTGGTGATTTCTTTCACTAACTCACTGAGGAGTTAATAATGAAAGAAATTGCTTCTTTTGCAAATACTTCCTGTACCTGGGAAATTAGTTTTACTGTTAAGAATTTGTACTGTAAATCCATCTGCTTTGGGAAGCAGCCTCTGTAATTTCCTTAGCTAAACAGTTACAGAATTGTTCTAGGCATGACCTGCCTGCGCAGCTTGTAATGATATTCTTAGCAAAGGGAAAATGCATGTGCAGCAACTCTGCAGCTTCAAGCCTGAACAAACTACCACCAGTTACTTGGGTGTAAGAGTAGGAAAACAGTCTATGCAAATTACTGATTTTTTCTTCCTTGTCCAAGCTCCTATATTTATCATGTTTCTGAGACAAATTGTAGTAATTTTTGGTTTTCTATTCAATTACGTTGTGAGTTATCTCTCAGTACAAGTAGATATTAAACCAGAAATGACATTTCTATTTTAAATAATTTAAAACAACATGTAACCTTCAAAATTATGTTATAGTGAAATGTCTATCCTAGTTCAAATTTTCAACTGCTTAATGTGTTTCAAATGCTTCCTTCTCTTAAGCAGAATTTACTTTTGGGTTCAGACATACTTGCTTTGTCCACATCCTTCCTGAGTTAGCCTTAAGACTTACATTTTAAGCTCTTCCTTTCTCTTTCCACATTAGCTCTTAAACCTTCTGTTCTTACTGTACTGAGCCTGTAAATGTAGTTGGAGAGGGAGGGAGGGAAGCAGCAATCCTGCAAGTGTGTGCAGGTGTCACCTACAGCATGCCCGAAGATGCAGCTTCAGCTGTGAGGTCTGTAAACATAAGACCTTGAGTCATATGTAATGCTGAGTACCAGCTTCAGATAATCAACTGCTTTTTGCATGATCATAAACTGGTTTTGGAATCTCTTTTTTCCAGCTGCTTACTTGTTCAAATGAGTAGTTTTTCATTCAGCTGAATGACACTAATTGAAGGAAATATGATCCCCGCAGTTGTCCAGTTCTGTACTGGCATCTAGTGGCCCAACAGTGTATTTTTCTTGAACTTTATGTAAAGTAGGCCACCACGGATGTATTTGGGATTTTTTTGCCCTGGAGGAATATACGAATGGATAAAGGTCTTCAGACTTGCTCTTCCATCTCTCTGCTGGGTTTGTCTTATTCATCCTGTTTCTTTACCAATATTTATGTGTAAGACCAAGTTCTTATCTGTACAGTTCATGCCCATAGTACAGAGTTAGGCATCTTTTGTAGTTGTTTATTTCAAATGGAAGATTATGTTTGATTATTGGGTTTAATTCTGTTGTCATTTTAAAAACATGTTATCCTTCCTTTTGTAATATATATCGATTGGCATGAAGATTGGTTATGATAGAATTTTATGTTAAGCATTGTAATATTTTATTAGCTGCAAAGATAATTTTTACTTTAAAAAGATGCCATTTTATTTCTGGGCCTTTTTATACGTGCTAGAGTAATCCAATCCTTTATTCTATTCTGTCTAGCTTTCAAAATTTTGTAGTGCTGTAGAAAGAATGTTCTTTTAAATTCTCGATGTGTAGAATTAAAAACCTCCATGCTGCTTCATGCAAATCTGTTCTTGTGTGTCTTGGTCCTTTCAGTTTAGGCTTTAGAAAAAACTACAGCAGATATCCCCCCCACCACTGACAAGAAGCCAATAAGCAAAAATTCAGTCAAGTAATACAAAAAGTATTAAAGTATTACCACGCACTCACACACTTCTCAAAAGTAATACACATGCTTCTTCTTTTTTTTTTCCCCTTTTTTTCTTTTTTTTTTTTTTTTTTTTTCCCCATAGATATCATGTCGTGGAAGCAGTTAGTTGATTTGCTACCCTTTGAGGGGTTGGTTGTCTTTGCTGCTAGTATGCACTGCGGACTTGTGTTTAACTAACTTCCTGTTCAACAGACCGGTCATATTCTGTTCTTCAGAGCTTCTTGAGACAGTTGGCCACCAGCCTCTGATACCTTAACATAAACTTCATTTAGTTCTATCAGTTCCTTGTCCTTGTGATTTGTTATCACTGACTCCTAGGAATTTGGTTGTCCTAGGCCAGTTTCTTTAAACAATTGTCGTAATGGTAGTTTTTGCTTGTGGAGACAAAGAACTTTTTCTGTGAAAGATTTCTTAATGCTTGGGTTGTGTTATGCAAAAAGGTTCTCTCTAACTGACAAGTATAACTCTATTAAGTAAATATTTAACACCATTTATTTCCATTGCTGTACAGGGTAAAGAACTGCAGTCTGAACTAGAATGCAGTAAATGAAATTTACACTTAATTTGGAAATTTCTGTAAAAAGGATAAAATAGTGCTTAATTTCTAACTGCCTAGATCTGTTTTGTCTCATTGTGGTTAGAAGACCAAAACCAATTTTGAACATCTTTTTATAGTTCTAGCTGTGTTCTACAATACTCCAACTAGATACATAGCATAGATCCACTAAATTTTTTTCCTCCCTCAGCGTGTTGTTGATCCTAACATAACAGGACCTCACATGGCTTTCTTCTCTCATCTGTGTCTGTGCTCCTTTTTTTTCTTGGGAGTGAGGGGAGATGAGTGTCATATATATCTAATCTGCCAGGTTTGTGTAATGTAACTAGACTTTGACAAAATTGCCTTATATTTTATTGGGTTATGGCCCAGTCTTTGCTCCAGAAGCAATAGAAATGAAAGACAGTGGAAGTGTTTGCTTGCCTTGACCTCAAAGTTTTAGAAAACTGTATGGATTTTAGAAGATTTAGCAAGAGATGTGGAAACTACAGTAACCTATCAATATGGTAATAGTAATCTATTGGCTTTATGCAGAGATGAGTATGAAACTCCTGTAAGCCCCCTGATACACTCCTAAGGATGAAAATTATTTGTTTCTGCAACTGTGTTTTAGTATGACAATATTTTATTGCTTTCTTTTCAGGTTATCAGAATATATGTTTAAATACTGAGAATTTCTTTTTTTTAGATGAATTGGAGCTATACAGTGGTCCAGTGGTGCAAATATTAAATATCTCTGAAAAAAATTAAATGCATTTTTAACCTTTACTTTTGTTTAGAGTGATAGAAAGCTTTAGTAACCTGTGTTTTGGCTAAATAAAGGGTAGATTTTAAAGAAATGTAAACAAACATTACTTTTCAGTAGCACAATATTTATGGATTTGCATTAGGAAAACTCACTTGTAAATCTGATAAAAATAAATTACTTATCTGGATAAGTTCTCTGCATTTTGAATTAGTATTTTGAGCATTTTATTCACAATTATTATGTCATTGCTTTTAGCTGCTGATGCAAGGTCAAGATGAGTGAATTAGGAGAAAACTCCTTAGATAGTTTGACTAATGAGTCAAGGAAGCGCAAGCCATTGCCCTGTGATACACAAGGTGCAAGGTACGTTTATATTGAACTTAACTGGTTTTTAATGAGTTTTTAAAAATACTTTTCAAATTTGCATTGCAATTTAGAGTAAGTTCTAACTAAGGAATTTGTTTAGTTGAAAAAGTCTCTAGGTCAGCTTCTGTTGTGAAGATAGGTAATTTTACTATTAGGTGTAGTTGATGCACTGTGCTTTATAATTAGACTCCCGTGGAAATTTTATTACAGTGGATGTATCATAGAATATGTTGGAATGAACCTTAAAGATCATCTAGTTCCAGTTCCTCTGTCATGGGCAGGGATACCTTCCATTAGATAACAAATCACTTTTGGAGTTGCGATTGCAAGGCAAAAGAAGAAAAACCTCTTGCTTCACAGGAATTTTAAAGGCATCATCTTAAATCTGGCAATTGATTTGACAGGCCTCATTTCAGGTGGTTACATTTATCAAAGAATACTGCAAGAGGTTGAGCTTTTTTCTGGTTTGTTTGTACTTCCGTTTCTTTTAAGTTCATCTATGCTATCTTCCTGCCCCTCACCCAACTCTCTCAGATACTGTTGTCTGAGGGCCTCAGTTTTCTGTTCCCCATGACTTTGTTTCTTTTCCCTTCCTTCCTTCCTTCCTTCCTTCCTTCCTTCCTTCCTTCCTTCCTTCCTTCCTTCCTTCCTTCCTTCCTTCCTTCCTTCCTCCCTCCCTCCCTCCCTCCCTCCCTTCCTTCCTTCCTCCCTTCCTCCCTCCCTCCCTCCCTCCCTTTCTGCCTGCCTCCCTCCCCTCCCTTTTCTTTATCCATAGAGTATTAACTTGTATTACATTTGTTGTCATGCATTGTGTGTACTAATATTTGTCCCTTTTATATATACAACCCCAGTGCCTCATGCCAATTGCCTTCGTCATTATAAGAGATCCTGTATGAAAACCTTAAATGCTTCCACTGTATCCCAGTGTCGTTTTATGAGTGTCCTCCATTCCATTTTCTCTTTCCCTTTCTACAGTGTCTCTCATGCAAGAGTTCTTTTTCAGATTGTCACCCTTCATTAGCTTTCTTTATCTTTCAAGCTCCTGCTTTGTCATGTTTTTGTTTTCTCCATATGTATGGTCCATGCATACTTTCCTAACTCCTTCACTTGGTTTCTTCTCAAAGAATGATTATTCTCTTTGAATTACCTTGAAACCTTTGTCTATTCTTGCCCCTGCCCTGAGTCCTTCTTTTCCTATTCTTGCCATATTGTGCATGACATTTCTCCCTGTTGATTTAGGCTGTAGACAATCTCTTTACTCAGCACATTAACCTGGGTAGGAAAAAGAATTTGAGAGAGACTTTTTATCCAGAAACATTAGGTTGTCTGGGATTCTGCTCTTCTTGCATGTTGAGATGGCATTTAGGTCCTGATGCCTAGAAATTTATGAGGTATCACCTTCTGTAATCATCTCTCTACAATCAAAATGAAAGGAGTTAATAGGAAGCTAAATTCAGTTTTGTTTGTCTAGTAAATTTTAAGCAACTGTAAAGTAATTTCTAATATTAAAATATACTTTCTGCATGAGTGCTACAATTTTATAACAAAAGCAGCTGCTCTTTTCATTAAATCTGACAGTAGAGTAAAAGAGTAAAAGCAGAAGTATTTCTTTTTATTAATAGCTTTCTTCTGTTTTCTTGATGTCAATTTGTACTTAAAATTCTTAAAAAAATATGTAAACCAAACACAAACACAAACCCCAAAGAAAACAGCAGCATAACAAAACACACACATTTGCCCTTCAGATTCATGTTTGCTGGAAGAATAACTACTGCCTAGGTTTAATGGGTGGGTGTTAAGTGAAGTACATTATTATCCACAGAGTGAGCGCAGGTTTTGTATAGGATGATATATAAGTATACAAAATAATGTTCTTCATTCCTAGTCTGGTCTGCAGTGGTGAGAAGCGTCGACGTGAGCAGGAAAGCAAATACATTGAAGAGCTGGCTGAGCTGATATCTGCTAATCTGAGTGACATCGACAATTTCAATGTCAAACCAGACAAATGTGCTATCTTAAAAGAAACTGTGAGACAGATTCGACAAATAAAAGAGCAAGGTACAGTCCCCTGCTAAGTCAGGATTAATAGTTTAATTTCACTGTGATTCTTTTTTTGTAGCAGTAGTTACTTGGGAAATTGAGTAGTTTTCCACAATAGCATGTAACTGAGCAGGTCTTTGGACTTTGGCTTCATTCAAACCTTAAATGCACCTTAAGTAATTTTCTATTTAAAAGTAAACAAGTATTTATCATCACTTTATTGGGAATCAGGATTTTAAAACTGCGGTTTTTTTAACCAGTTTTTCTTACCAGTTTTGTACCACAGACAAGTTAAAAGAAGAGGAGATGCTATTTTAACATCTGCTTGATCTGCTTGTACTCTATACCAAATACTCACTGGTATGAAGAATACATGCCATTGCCTTTCACTTCAAGGAAACCTATCCTTTTCTTATGGGCAAGCTTCCAATCAGAGATAGTGATTTTTATGGATTTTTTTTAAATTGCTTTTTTAGTGTGATTGAATGGACTCAGAATACAGCCAACTCAAAAAAGGAGAAAGAAGCAATGCATCATATCTTGGTAAACTCTGTCAGCTAGGGTAAACCTAAGTGATATAATACTTTTTTTTAAGCAACAGGTATATGGAAAACCCATGTTTTGAAATATAGAGTGAGGAGTATATGTAATTTATTTTTTTAACCACCACTCCACCCCATCTCCACCTCCCAATGACTAGCCTCCCAAGTTTATATGTGTCATTTGGGCAGTAAAGTATTAGAAAAACAGAATATGCTGTGTGTATCTTACCTGTTGTGGTAAATTGCCACATCTTATGCTAAAACAATTTTCAAAAATCAGCTTCTGTTTTTAAGGTTTTTTTGTAGTGTCATTGTGTGAATTCTAATATTTCATTAGAGAATTGAGATGTTGTACTCCTCCTGTGGTCTGCTTAACCAGCTAGCAAGTACCACAAAATAAAGCTCACAGTGTTTTTCTGTAATTCTGCTGCATGGCATGAATTCCCATTCCACCTTCCCCTGCGATAAATTACCTGAGAATATTTTGATTATTTAAATATGACTTTCTTATACGCATGCACACACATACACACACGTATATACACATACAGGCACACAGCTGTTAACATGAATCAAAGCCTTTTTGAAGAACAGTGGTGATGGCATCTGAAGACTGTAACCAATGATAATGAGCTGATCAAAGTAAAAACATAAGAGATATATGAGTGTTTTTAATGGCTATTGAAAGACTAAGCAGGTATTCATCAGACAGTATCTGAAAAATAACAAGAAATGTTCACAAAGCAAGTTCATCATGTCAGCTTCAACTGCCAAGTCAATTTATGTGAGCAAAGACTTTGGCGTAATGTGGCCGTGACATATTTTCTGGTCTTATCGGCCAACAGTATATGAGCCCTTCTCTCTCATTTGTGCTTCTTTTTGTGTTTATTTCACACTCTCCCTAGGATCTGACTCGTAATATTAAAATATGGCTATCACATGAAAAGTTGCTTTATGGAAATGTATTTTTTGGCTTTCAGGAAAAGCAATTTCTAATGATGATGATGTTCAGAAAGCTGATGTATCATCCACGGGTCAAGGAGTTATTGACAAGGATTCATTGGGACCTCTTTTATTACAGGCAAGTACAAATTAGGCCCTAGTAAACCGCTATGGAAGCAAATACTTACAGCAGGGGAAAATATTACAATAAAATATGCAATCCTGTAGTAATAAAATAGTATGCAAGCACCATGCAGAAGTATGTTTGAGAGGTTCAGGAATAAAATCTATCATGTTTTCTTAATTTTGCTGAAATTCTCCATAGAAGGAAATAGAATAGCCTTTTACTTTTTCTAGTATTCCTATGCTTTATTTACTCTAGCAGTCATTAGCAAATTACTACTGAAGCAGTGCTTATTTGTACAAGGAATACTTTATTTGTTCTAGGGGATAGACATTAAATGGAGTTTTTGCAAGGAGAGGTTTGTTATATGTATGTCTGCATTTGTGTTACTAAATTATGAAGCATTTTAAATGAATGTTGCCATCAAGTAAAATAACCCAAGATTAACAGTAAACAAAGGTACATAGCAGATAGCCTTTCTTTATGCCTGGAAAACCAACCTGATATTTACAAGTTCATGAAAGCATTTTTGAATCTTAGTTTTTTAACATAGATATTGAATTTCTCTTTCAGTTAAGAACATACAGTATTTGGCTAGCTCCTCCTATCTCATCACTTGATAGTGGCAATGTCTTCATGTTCATGACTCGCTGCTTGTTCCTACTGAACTTCTTGTTTCAATTTGCTAACCATTGAATTAACGGTACAAATTCGTGATCTAGTGTTCATATGAATCAAGAATGAAACAAGAAGGCTGGTTATCAATGTGAAAGCTGAATGGAATATCACATGGACATATTAATTATTATTATATAAATAATTCCCTACCATATGCACTTTTCCTCAAAGAAGAATTTAAAACTTCATGTCTATCCTTGAAAATAAGTGAATATATTATAAATTGACATTTATCACACGCACTTTTTAAATTAAATTTGTTGAGAATTAGTCGATCTGTCTTACATGATTTGTTGTCATGTTAATATTTAGGCATTGGACGGCTTCCTCTTTGTTGTAAATCGAGATGGGAACATAGTATTTGTATCAGAAAATGTCACACAGTATCTGCAGTATAAACAAGAAGATTTGGTTAATACAAGTGTGTATGGTATCTTGCATGAAGAGGACCGGAAGGATTTTCTTAAAAACTTACCTAAATCTTCAGGTAGTAAAAGTTTATCTACTACACTTACTAGACTATTTGAAAACAATCAAAGAAGACAAAAATACCCCATAAAGGATAACCTTTCAAAACATATTAGTTATATAAAGAATGTTTTACTACAAGAATATCTTAATCTTGATAAACACTACTGTGTTTTTACAATAGCATGCCATCAGAAATAAATGTGCTGGAAATTCACACTTTACTTTAGCCTTTGAATTTTGTTTACCTATAACTTTAAAAGAGCGACACTGAAGGAATACCTTCCCTAATACCACAAGGCTGGCTGAAGGAAGTGCTTGTTTTTGAAATATATGAATGACTTTCCAACACTCTATCAAGTGACTTAAAGTGTCATGCAAAAGGAAGAGTGCTTTTTACTTGGTTGTCAATATTCCTATTTTTTACCAAGCTATATTGATGGTATATTGAGAAGGCATCTTAAAATAGCCTTTATTATCTGTAATCTAGGAACAGGGTATCTAAATTAAGAACAATCAGTTATGAGTTGATTGTATCTGAAAACCGGTATGAATTCTTACTATGTTCTTTTAAGTTAATGGAGTTTCTTGGAGTAATGAAGCACCGAGACAGAAGAGCCATACATTCAATTGTCGAATGATGGTGAAAAGCTCTCATGACCTCTTTGAAGATGTAGGTGGCTATCAGGATATTCGTCAAAGATATGAAACTATGCAGTGCTTCGCTTTATCGCAGCCAAGAGCTATGATGGAAGAGGGGGAAGGTAGGAATTTTTGCAGAATTGTCATGCACAGAAATTTCTTTGAAAAGCTCTTTGATGTTTAGCATACCATTTTCAGGATAGCAGCAGCTTTAATCCTTACTCTCTGTACTTCCATTGTAACAACAAACGATGCTTCAGCTATTTCATTAGATTCTTCAACACAGTAAAACATGAGATGATGAAAGAAGAAACATTCTTTTTTTAAATACAGATTTGCAGTCCTGTATGATTTGTGTGGCACGTCGTATCACAACTGCAGAAAGGGTATTTCCAGGAAATCCAGAGAGCTTTATTACAAGACATGATCTTTCAGGTAGGAAGTATACCCAGGAGGAAGGTATGAAGGAGTCTTCTTTGTCCATGTGCTCTTGTTTTAAATAAACGGAGTGTGTATGGTGTATATGGAGTGACTAACGGAATTCATACTGAGAATTCCTAACTGCTTTTTACAATATACCATTGTTGGTAGTGAGATGTAATAAAACCTGTGGGAGGCATTTTCTTCTCTATGTTGCTGTTTGGTAGGTTGGTAAAAAGCATTACTTGTGTTTTAGCTGGCATTTCAAGTGGTTGTCATTCTGCTTTCCTTTACGTGGAAGATGTATTTTAGGTCATAACTGGAAGTCATTTAGGACTTCCTAAAAGACTGGAAGTCCTTTAAAAATGCTTATATTTTTATACAATTCATGAGCTAATGTTTAAAGTGGCTTATGCTGTTTAAATTGAAAGAGTTATATAATCTAAATGGGACTTTTTGTTTATGATGTTTGTTTGATGTAGTTGGTTGCTATTTTTTAAAATTTTAGTCTGTGTGCATCCCTTAGGTGCCTGTAACCAGAGATAAAAGTTACTGTTTTCTAAAGCTCTGACACTGACCTGTGGGGGATTAACTTTCTCTTACTCAGTTACATAAATTCCTTTGAATAGTGATGCTTTAACAAGCAGCATCATATTCTCATATGGCAGATAATTCATAAATGTAACTTCTGCATGTTCAGAATTTGGTGATTAAAAGTGTTATATTGGAACCTTAGGAAATGTACCATATTTATACAGAAACAGTTGTCACAGGCATAAAGAGTTTAACTTGTATATTTTCTTTCCTGTTAAGGCAAACTTGTCAACATTGATACAAACTCATTACGATCTTCCATGAGACCTGGCTTCGAAGATATAATTCGTCGCTGTATTCAGAGGTTCTTATGCCACAATGATGGGCAGTCATGGTCAAATAAACGCCACTATCATGAAGGTAAAAATCAGTTTACAATGTTTGGGTCACAATGTTTTGCTTCTCCTAGGGACTGCATTTTTTTCTGAAAAAAAAAGCTAAATTCTGCCTGTGTTCCTTTTTTTCCGTGGTTTTTGTTAATTACTGTGATTCATTTACAAGCTGAAGGAGGATGACCTCCTGAGAATGAGGAATTCTGCTGGAAGTTGTTGGGTTTTTTCAATGTGTTTATTTTGGAAATTAACATGGAAAATACCAGATACATGATCTGGGGTCCTCAAGGAAGCTGTTTTTCCACAGCAATGATGGAGACAATTATATTTCTATGATGATATGTAATTTTTAATTATCATATGTAATTTTTAATTATCATTATATTGTTGTTTTCTGGTTAAATAACAAATGGTATTTATTTTGGTATGTTAGTTTGATGATATTTTATTTCACCCTTTCCTTTGTTAAAGAACCACTCTGTGAAAGTGATAACAGTTGTGTTGGTGCTTTTTTCTTGTTCTCAAGACACAGGGCTCAAAATATTTTCAGTGTTCCAGTGCCACATATTTTGTAATGCTAATTTGATAACCTTGATAGATAAATGATGTACAGCCGCAGCCTTCAGTAAGAAAGATAATGTTTTCTAATTATTCCAAACTCGAGTCTTTTTGAAGGATTTACCAAGTAATTCGAGCACAGAAGATGTTAAATAAAGCGAAACTCATACTGTCAGCAAATGGATTTTCTATTCCATTGGAAGTTCTTCAACATAACTGATTAATGAATCCTAAATTAACACGAGACTTGAAGCTCAATTGAAAACCAATAGTTTCCGCAATTTTTTGATTGAAGCAAACTTAAAAATTCTTCCCCAAGCAGGAGCCAGGGGCTCTATAATCTAGCCTTGGAAGTCTGTTAACAAATGCAGAACTTTGCCAGTTGTGTCTGGTGAGCACAAAATATTACAGCACGAAAATAATCTGGTTTGCTTTTATCTTCCCTCTACTGATAGAGGAGAAATAGTGGAATACTTCCTTTAGCTCTGTATATGTTTTAAGTATGTTTATTTATTTATTTATCTATTAATGTATTCATTCATTTCTTTATTCATTTATTTATTTTTAACGTTTTTTGTGTTTTGGGGAGATAATCTTCAGTAAATGAAGGGTATTATGTCAAAAATATAATTCATACTAATAATTCTTGGGATTTTAAATATTAACTATATTCGTGTATTCCCTTTACAGCTTATACACAAGGTCATGCTGAAACCCCATTGTATAGATTTTCTTTAGCGGATGGTACAATAGTGACAGCACAAACAAAGAGTAAGCTGTTTCGAAATCCTGTAACTAATGACCGCCATGGATTTGTCTCTACCCACTTCCTTCAAAGGTGAACTTAGTAGTATCTGTTTGTAATTTAAGTGTCACAGTTTAAAAAAAATACATCTGGCCTTGAAGACAACCTGAGAAAAAATAGCATACTAAAATATTTTACCTGATTAAAACTCAGATGGGGAATAATTTGGGAAACCGAGCTGCATAGCATACAATAAATAAATGTGTAAACCTCGCAGAGTCCCATTTTAACTATGTGCAGAAAGACAGTCACAGTCAAAAGAGAATTTTTTACTCAATACCCGCTCAAAGCCTGTGCTACGTTTATATTAGTCTTTTGTGGTAGCAATTATGAAACACTGAAAATAGAGATGCTAAGTCATGTGCTTTTGCAGACCAATTAAAAAGACAACAAAACCCTCTCAGATGCATAATCCATAACTGAAATGTACCTTAGGTAGTATTTCCTATTACCTGTTCTTGTTCTTTGCAAAAGTAATTGAAATGTCACTTTGGAGGGAATCTGTCTCCTTCTGGCAGAGTAGCTCCAGGTGCTGAAAAGTTAGTAACTGAGCTTGTTCAGGGTCACACACTGTTAATGTGCCCAGTAGAATAGAATGGTGGCAGGCATTGACTCAGGAAGGGAATGAAAGAAGGAGGATCTTTAAATGGATAAATCTGATTAGTCATCTGATCATTGATAAAAGCTTTTTGAGGCAGTGATACTGTATGTGATTATAACTCAAAGCCTTCAAAGGATCAAACATTTCTGTAGTGAATAAATGAATGTCATGGCTTAGTTCTGCTTTTGTGGAAGCTTGAATTCTCGCTGCTCTTTTTTGGAAAAATATTTGGACAATTAATTAATATTGTATTTGTTCCACATGATTCCAAATAAGGTTTTAATTTGTTTTCTTTGGGTTTCTGGGGCTGATGTTGAATTTACAGAGAACAAAATGGATATCGGCCAAATCCTAATTCTGTTGGGCAAAACATCAGAACAACTGTGACTGGAAACACAAATTCTGTTAATGGTCTTATGAACATGTCACCTGGTCAAGCCATGCCAATGCAGAACAGAAACTATGGGATGGGAGATCCCAATGCAGTGGGTCAGCTCACCAGCACTCGATTTGGAAGCCCTGGGAATATGGGGCCAGTGAACTCTGGAACTGGCATGCAGTCCTCTGCTTATCAGAGTAACAGTTTTGGGTTAAATATAAGTAGCCCACCACATGGCAGTCCTGGCTTAACTTCCAGCCAACAGAATCTAATGGTATCTCCTAGGAATCGAGGGAGTCCAAAAATGAGTTCACACCAGTATTCTCCAGTTACAGGTATTTTATTTTTGCTAAAAGCTCTTTTTTTTAAGCTATTTTTTCTCACTTTTATCTGAATTCCACCTTTCATCCATTTCAACTGTTCTATATGACCCTATATGTGTTACTTGAATGTAGTATACCTGACTTCATGTATGAACTCAATGTGGCAATCATACATAATCCAAAGGAAGAGTACATACAAGCAGTACTGTAATCTAATAAGTTTGATCTCTGTCACATGATACAGGTATGCACTCGCCTATGGGATCTGCCAGCAACACTAGCAACAGCACTTTTTCTAGCAGTTCTCTAAGTGCTCTGCAAGCCATTAGTGAGGGTGTTGGAAATTCCCTTTTATCAACACTTTCTTCACCGGGTCCAAAATTGGATAATTCCCCAAACATTAGCGTAACTCAGCAAATTAAAACAAGTACCCAGGACTCCAAAAGCCCTTCTGGTTTGTATTGTGAACAAAACCAAGTGGAAAGTTCCATATGCCAGTCAAGCAGCAGAGATCTCTTCAGTGAAAAAGATAGTAAAGAGGGAAATCTGGAGGCATCTGAAAGTCAGAGAGGACCATCTGAGAGTAAAGGGCATAAAAAACTCCTTCAGCTACTTACGTGCTCCTCAGATGAAAGAGGACATTCTACAGCATCAAACTCACCTTTAGACTCAAATTGTAAAGAATCTTCTACCACCGTTGCCAGTCCTTCAGGAGTTTCCTCATCCACATCTGCAGGGGTATCTTCCTCCTCAAACATGCATGGGTCACTCCTGCAAGAGAAGCACAGGATTTTACATAAATTGTTGCAGAATGGTAATTCTCCAGCAGAGGTGGCCAAGATCACAGCTGAAGCTACTGGTAAAGACACATATCACGATGCTAGTAACACAACCTCTTGTGGAGAAGACACTGTCAAACAGCAACAACTAAGTCCAAAGAAGAAAGAAAACAATGCTTTACTAAGATATCTACTAGATAAAGATGATATTAAGGAACCGCTTTCCAAAGAGCTGAAGCCTAAAGTAGAAGGTGTGGATAATAAGATGGGACAATGCACAAGTTCTGCAATTCCCACTTCAAGTCAAGAAAAAGAGATGAAAATAAAAATGGAGCCAGCAGAGGAGGTACAGTATAATGTAAAATGATATCAGTGAGCTAACCAATATTTTATTATTAAGTGAATGACTAAATATAGAACACTCTGCAGTGTGCATGTGTAAACATTTCTAAAAAGGTTCTGTGCAAATGATGTGAAACAATAGAGTCGGATTTAATTGTGAATGAAAAAACACTAACAAAAAGAACTACAGGATATATATATATAACCAAATCTGATGTCCTGAGGTCCTGGACTAATGTTTTGAAGTTATGGTATGATTAAGGTAATATTTGCACATTATTCCTTAAAATTAGATCTTAGCACATGTTTGGTTTTATGGCTTAGTAGGAAATGGGCCCGTAACTGCCTCTGTACTTAGTTGGCAATGCAAGAGCAAAAGGTAAAACATGATTTTGTTTTGAAAATATAAACAATACACAAAAATGTGTAATACTTGAAATAGCCATGATTTGATTTAGTTCATTCATTGGTTTTAGTACTCTTTTTCTTTCTTTAAATGAGGGAATATGTTCTTCCAAATATATATATATCTATATATATCTATATATATCTATATCTATATATATGTATATATCTCCAGCATTCAAATGAATACATAATAAAATGTATAAATGTATATATAATTTTTATAAATAAATACAAATAAATAAGTTCTAGAGGTGGAATTCCAAGAAATGTCATGATGCAGAAAACTAGCATCATGGAGCAACTATTCTGAAATCAGCAGTACACTTGTTAGGAACAGATGTTCTTAAAATTATAATCTGTATATAATGGTTTTGTATTTAAGTCCTAAGATTTGGAACTTCCTAGTTAACTGGTCAGTAGTTTGGAGTACTGGTCAGTATGGCAGAATTTATTGAAGATATATAGATTTCTTAGACCTTGAATTTCCCAAATCAGTAATAACTGGGTAAATTTAAAAAAAAAAAAAAAAAAAAAAGGAAACCAAAGCAAAACAAAAAAAACCCCAGCACTTTTTTTTGCATTAGCTACTGGCTGACTATAATAAAACACCTTATAACATTGTTTGAGTACTACTTATGGAAAAGTCACTATCAACTCTGTAGTCGTACACAACGTAGTTTTAGTACTTGCTTCTGAGATGTAATTAAGGTATTCATAGAAGCTTCTTTCATGAAGATGTTGATCCACTATATATGAATTATTTTCTATTGAAGCTCTATCTGATTTAAATGCAAATTTGTAAAGAAAGTTAGGGCTCCAACTGACCGGAAAAACCTGTGCATAATTTTAATGTCTTGTAGTGCTCACGATTAGCTCTTTGTGTATGATAGATATATTATTTATCAATGAATGGTACACATTCTCGATGTTCACTATCATTAGTGTTTTTATCTTTGTAACTTGTGATGTTTGAAATACTTATAGTCAGAAATGCTTTTCGTTTTAGTTATGCGTATTTTCTGCTAATTCTCAAAATTACCTAAAGAAAATACTCTAAAAAAAAGGTATCTAAATGGTATCTGAACTTCTTTGGAAGTGAAAAGGTAGCTCCAGAGAGCGTCAGTGAATTAAAACATTTGTCTCCCAGTCATATGCTTTAAGATTAGCAAGGATCTAAGTAAAAATTTAATTATAGCCACATGAGAGTAAATAACCTTGGTATTTTACTGCATCATTTTCAGATGAATGGAGACTTGGATAATTTGGATGCAATTCTAGGTGATCTTACTAGTTCAGAGTTTTACAATAATGCTATCTCTGCAAATGGAAATAACCCTGGAACAAAGCAAGCATTATTTCAAGGAAATGCCCTGTTGGGTAAGGAATTAAATCTACCCCCTGGGTTTTAAAAGCAGGGTTTTCTTCTTACCTGATGTAAACATAATGCATCCTCATACCCTTAGAGAATACCTTCTTCATCTCATATATCTTCAAGGACAAATGTAATGCAAAATAGCTAATTATGCTTTCACAGGCTATTATGTACACTATTAGCTGTCTTGACAGCACTCGCCTACTGTATGCACAATGAATAACATTCAGTTCCTTGTTTTATGGTTTATTCTGGCTTTGTCTAATGTAGATTTCTCAGAGACAAGTTATCAAGAAGGATGTTTTGTGAGCTGTAAATTAAAATTGAGAATTTTTGTCCCTCACTGATGACTAGGGATATAATATGGGATTGGTGACAAGCTTTTAATTTCTTTCTTATTCTGTGTGAAAATATCTTGTGGCCAGTAAATCCTAATCACTACTCCTCCTTGACATCAAAAGGAATGCCCTTCCTTAGAAGGAGGGGAGGATAACCTAGCTGATAAACCAGCATCATGGCAGTTGTTGCTTTCTTGCATGACACTGGTCATCTCTTGGTTATATAGGGCAATGGATTGCTGAGATAAGCAAAGGAGGTGAAGCATGGGTAATGAAAAATATAAAGCCAGGTACAAGAACATGTAAAGCCACTGGCACTATTGGCTGTGAAGCACAGTAGGTTATTTGTCCATAGAGGACATTGTGCTCAGAAACTCACCATGTCATTACAGAACTTAAATTAAAAGGGACTTCTTTTTTCAGGGAACTGCCTTTGACTTTTTTTGCAAAAGGTCCTAACGATGTGTTCAAAATGGTAATTTTTGTTGTGAAAACATAGGCAACATAACTGTTCCTGGCTTGCTTATGATCAAGTGTATGAGTTCATAAAGAGATGAGACTAATTTTAGTCATTAATAGCATATTTTATTTAAAATGTACAGTTGCATGCATCTTTTAATTCTTTAACAGGTGTGAAGAGTTCCCAGTCTGTGCAGACTACTCGCCCACCTTTTAACAGAGCCATGTCTTTAGACAGCCCGATGGGCTCAGGTGCTTCAGTGAGGAATGTCAATGCATTCTCCATGTTACAAAAGCAAAACTTGATGGGTGGAAGTCCAAGAATGATTGAAAACCAAGAAAATTTTGGAGCAAATCTGGGTTTGTTGGTTGTATACAAACAGCTGTCATTGTAAAGGAAATAGCTTTAATGTAAAAAAAGTTGCTAGACTAAAATACAAATTTCAGTTAGAAGAAACTTTAACATTAAAGAATTTTAATTTTACCATCATTAATACTTCTGAATTATTATCTTAGCTAAAATTATAAGAACCTAACAGTTTACTACCTGTGTCATTACTAGTACTTTACTATAACTAGTTACATTCTTTTTTACTATTTTGAGTTTTTAGTTTAACATGTACTTTTGATATATAGAAGCAAGAACAGTTCAGTGGCAGCCAGTCATTATGAATTTTACGTATATTTAGACATATATAGTTTTTGAATTATTTAGAACTTGGCAGGGTGAGCTCTAGATTCTTTTGTAGGATGCCAGTTGATTGCTCTGATATTAGCAGCTGCACTGTTATGAAATAGCAAAATAATTCAAAAACCAAAATACATAATGTACTCCAGATAATAAATATTTGTCTTCTGCTCTTCATTATAGCAAGTGCTCCCCACAGAAATGTGGCGATGAATCAGCATCAACCAGGAGACTGGGGTTTGCCAAACTCCAAAGTGAACGGATTGGAATCCGCAAGTTCTGCTGCAATGCTGAGACCAGGAGTTGAATTTAGTACAACCCTTCCGAGGCCCCCAGAGGCTGGCTCTGTCTCTGGGCTGCCTGTTCGCTCTAACAGCATACCTGGTAATAGGCCAATGCTGCAACAGCAAATGATTCACATGAGTAAGTTCTTAACTTCTTGTTGTCCCACATAGCACTATTTCCCTGGTTTCCTAGTAAGCATTCGTCATAAGAATCTTTGCACTATTGGTAAAATGCTAGATTTTTATTCAAAGGCTTTTTGAGGTAGAGACTGTAATTGTTCCCTGACTGTGACATTTGATGACTTTTTGGTGATGTTCTTGTTTTCTTCTGGTGCTGTGTGTCTCATACACAGATAATTTGTTCTGGGTCCCGAGATTGGGTGGGGGGATTATTTCTGTGTGTTTCTTTAGTGCAGTACTTCTCTGCTAAATTCCAGGAACTAAATGGCGTCTATGATTCCATATGTAAAGATACTAGCATTGTGGTTAATTTAATTCATCCTATTTGATATGGATTTTTTTTCTGTTAACTTCTTGGTAATCAATGCCTTTTAAAGTTTTTCTCTCAAGTATTTCAAATTTCTTTTTACATGGAGTAGCCAAATTTCATGTAAAGCCACATTGCAAATACCTTTTTTCTTCGAAGTATTCTTATGTGCATGAAAGAAAATAAGCTGTATGTCTAAAATATGAGCAGTCTTAAAGCCTGTGGGTTTTTTCTGTTTTATGTGTCTAACAAAGGTTTAGTCTGGAGCTGAAGTTCTCCAGTCTACTATGCCAATACCAGTATGCCCCAAACCACTTTAAATAGACAGCATTCCTTTCTTAAAATGGAAAGCTACCAAGGCTGTCACCAGTTCCCTCAAACAGACTTACTATTTCAATGCAACAAATGGATATAAGATTAAATATGGAAGAACTTTGTGCAGTCCTGACTAAGTCAGAATTTTCCAGCTCAGCTTCCTAGAAATCATTGATGCTAGGTGATTCATACCGATGCTGGGGAATAATATGATGACAAACTCTCCTATGTAGTGCTGTATGTCCCTGGATAGGTAGAGGGAAAAAAGTACTCCCAAAGAGCAAAATGGTATGTACTTTATGTTTCTTTTAATTGCCACCCTGTATTGGAATTCAAAATGCCAGATTTTGGTGTCACTATTACAGTGTGTATTTGCTGGTACCCAGATATCATTGTCCAGAATTTTTGTTGGGGTTTTTTTCATGTAAGATGCTGTGTCTTCCATGCTCCTATTTAGAGACTAAAGGATTAGAAATAGCAATTCTGCTCTAACAGGGTAGCAGGTCCAGATCACTGTCTGCTGTATTTAAATCTGTGGTCTGTTATATATGTGAAATGATCTTGAGTTCATGTGTGCATATGCTGTAAAACATAATAATGGAAAGCTCATGAAGCTGCTTGAGAATTTGTGTGATCATCCTAACTGAACACTAGGATACCAAGATGAAACCTTCAGTTTTTAAAAAATACACAAATGTTTTACCTTGCAGGGCCAAATGAGATAAACATTGACATGGGAGGTAATCCCTATGGACAGCCTGGACCTTCTAACCAACCTGGATTGTGGCCTGACAATATGATGTCCATGGAGCAAGCGTCACGGGGTTCACAAAACAGGTAGAATTGGGGAAGGTTTTAAGGCAATTTTAAATACAACTGTTCACTGTCTGTCAGAACAATTTAAGACCTGGAAATAAAATTGTGTAGCATATGCTGTGGGGATGACAGATTGGAGGCAGAATTCCATTTCGGGAATGTTTCAGAAATGTTTCCATTTCTGCTGCTCATCTGACACAGGATATTCTTTAAGCTAGCTCCACAAAAGTCATTGTTAACAAAATCTATCAACCCTTGAATTGGGAGGCACAGAAAAAAGACATGAGAGACTCTGAAATAATACCTCTGCGGCACATGGCAAAACAAGGAGAAAACAGAGTTTATATGTGTTTAAGGATGCATGGAAGGTGACTGGACACTTTAAGACATAAATTTTGGACTTAAGTTGGGTAACTATACTACTTAATCATACCCAGGTCAATATATTATATAAAAACTGTAGTTTTCCTTGTAATGGTTGTAATGAATTTCTTCACTGAAAGAGTGGTCAAGCATTGGAATGGGTTGCCCAGGGAGGTGGTGGAGACACCATTCCTAATGTGTTCAAGAAACAACTGAATGTTGCACTTAGTGCTCTAAGTGTGGTTGACAAGGTGGTATTCCCTCAAAGGTTGGTCTCCATGATCTTAGAGGTCTTTTCCAATCTTATTGATTCTATGATTTTAGTGGGGTTTTTTTTATTTTATAGACTACTAGTTAGAAGCTCTTTGGATGATCTCTTATGTTCAGCACCAAATATGGAAGGCCAGAATGATGAAAGGGCACTTCTAGATCAGCTGCACACACTATTGAGTAATACAGATGTCACAAGTCTGGAAGAAATTGACAGAGCTTTAGGAATTCCTGATCTTGTAAACCAAGTAAGTAAACAGATATTTTGGCCATTTATTTTCCAAATAGCAATATTATTTTATTACTCGAAAAGAAAGTCAAGAGGGCCTCCTCATTTACTTTGTCTCATCACATCCTCATCTTCATATTCATACATTTCCCTTAGGAAACATTTATATTGACTAGTGATTTTCAAAGGAGTAGCTCGGTATGGATTAAATTCCTTGTGCATGACAAGAAATACAAAGTTTATTGTATAATGCCTTTGTATATATAGGCAGAGTTTGGGGTGTAGCTCGTTATAATTCTAGAAGCTGAGAATTCTGTTGGGTTTCCTTAGTAGCCTGCTGTCAGCTGAGCTTAGGTTGTGAATTATTTGACTGTCAGTGATGTGGATGCTTCCCTCTCCTTCAGTTCCAGGTTGAACTTGCATGGCTAGCAAATAGAAAAAAGAAATTCTGTGAGTACTTTGGAAGTTGCCATGACCCACATGACACCATCATTTGTACAAATATGGCTTGAATGGTGACACTGGTCTGCCTGTGTATGCAGTGTGCAGCAAAACTGATTTTAAAAAGAATTATTATTATAAATCACTTTTGCTATTTCATTAGTTTGGAGACAAAACTAACAGTAGCTGTCCATGCTATGTTCTACCCAAGAAATGGCTGGGTGGTGTATTATACTTAGTTAGCTTTATTGCTACTTTAGAAATTCTATATATACTGCTAGTGAAAGCACTTCTGTATCTGTTGAAGGGACAAGCTTTGGAACCCAAACAAGATTCATTTCAAGGTCAGGAATCTTCAGTTATGATTGACCAGAAGCCTTTGTTATATGGTCAACCCTATCAAGGGCAAGGGGCAGCAATGCCAGGAAGTTTTAGTAACATCCAGGGACAACAGCCGTCTTTTAATTCATTGATGAATCAGATGAGCCAACCGAGCAATTTTCCTCTGCAAAGTATCCATCCCCGAGCAAATGTGATGAGACCTAGGACCAACACACCAAAGCAGCTACGCATGCAGCTCCAGCAGAGGCTCCAGGGACAGCAGGTAATTTTTTGCTCCTACTTTTACACTTCCTTCATGTTTCAGAATGGAATCACTTGCACGCGGAATTGTGTTGCTTTACATATGTAACAACAGATGACTGAGAGGGTGGATCTTTTATTTTGACAGTGCTTCTCATTGAATTGCCTGGTGGCTGTAGGAGTAGAAGAACATTTATTAGGACAAGTGTTTCTCCTTTGTCAGCCTCCCTAGCTACAGATTGGATTGGTTCCTGCAGCACACAAAATGATTGCTAGATAAAACAGTGCTTTTGTACAATGTAACTCTGCATGATCTCTTTATCTGTGTTTAGTATTTTTTTGGAACCTCACAGATAGCATTAAATCGGAGCTGTATTTCTACTGTAAATCAGGTGTTACTTCTTTCTCACTGTGTTTTCTAACTAATCATTTGGGCTTAGTGATATAGGGGTTTGCTTTCCATTTAGCAATTTGATGTCATGTTAGGTATTTTTTTCGGATGAAAGGTGAGAGAATAGATACAACCACATAGATCTTAACACTAGGTTGAAAACACTGCTTAAAATATTGGTGCATGATTTCAGCAGTGAACTCCCCATGTTAAAATGCAGGCTTGATATTAAATACAGTGTACAAATAAAATTAGGAAAACTGAACTACTGCTGTGTGACATGGTGTGTGAGCAGAATACATGCAGGTAACACCAAGGCAACAACAACGCACAGCTGAAGTACAAAGGTTAGGTTTATTCCATCATCCTGGATTCAAAAAAACAAAGACGCATACACTGCTAAGCTCATTTTAGAAGGGGCAAAAAGTACCCAGGCCTGAGCCCTGCATTCCATAGCAAAAGGGCCTGGAGCATGCACAGTCCTTCACCAACCAGGCTTTCCTTTCATATCTCCAAATCCTCTTATCTCCCTTCCCCCACCTTTATGGAGGCCCAAGTATATGGGAAAGGCTTTTAAAAGTATTTCACAACATTTTGCTATATTTTGTGAGAAAATTCAGTTTCTTCTCTGTAGACAGACAACATCCCAGAGCAAACATAAATATGTGAATTTTCTCAGCCAGAGTATTTGTTAACATCTCCCTGGTGCCTGGTTGGTCCTTGAGAGAAAACAATTCTAAAACCAACTCCCTTTTCTCTCTCCTTACCAATCTTCCACTTTTCAACCCTTTTCTCTCCACACATGGAACGGCACTGCTAGGAAATACTGTGTTCTCTCTTGGTTTTCTGTGACACTTATTGTTTAAAACAAATAGATAATCTGCTCTTTATTCCTAAAGAGAGATAATTTAAGGAAAATACAAAACCAAAGCCTATTATTGCTGCACTGATTGAAGGCTTTTTCTTTTTGGTGTTTGAGATGTTTAAACAAATTGTTTAAAGACAAGTCAAAAATTAACCACTGCACTTTATGCATTCAAGAGGTCTGTAAAGAAAGTGTTTTTGCAGGAGTTGCCATTACTTTTTTCAGATACTGTTATTTTCAAGCTAATAGTGCTAAAATGTCTTTTTCCAAGTTTATGAATCAGACCCGTCAAAGTCTTGAAATAAAAATGGAAAATCCAGTCAGTGGTACTAACTCAGTGATGAGACCAGTTATGCAGCCACAGGTGGGATCCCAGGTAAGTACTTCCTACAGTAGCCATCTGTTTAGAATTTCAACCTTCTTTCATGGCTTTACAGTATTCCTCTGCATAATTTTTTAAAAAGGGGTTTTTTTGCCTCCCTTATTGCTGAGATTGCTGAGGGATTTGTTCAGTAGGTCATGCTGTCAATTCAGTATGCCGAGTTTTTTGTGTAAATATCATCATTTGTTTAGCACTAATGACAACTTAATGAAAAGTTTTGTCTTAATATTTTGATGATTATTTTTTGTTTATGGGTTTTCCTTGACTTGCCGGGTCTTAGGAATGAGTTTGATTGACTCTGACATGATTTTATTTGTAAAAACATCTTCTAATATGATTTTTCTTCTCTTTGGGGGATAGCAACAAGGTTTTCTTAATGCTCAAATGGTGGCTCAGCGTAACAGGGAACTAATAAGTCACCATTTTAGACAACAGAGGATGGCAATGATGATGCAGCAGCAACATCAACCTCAGGCCTTCAGTCCACCACCAAATGTGACAGCCTCAGGAAGCATGGATAGTGCTTTGACAGGCCCTCCAATGGCTCAAGTTCCTTCACAGCAATTCCCCTATCCACCTAATTATGGTACTAGTACTAACATGTTTGGCTTTTTTTTATCATTTGTTTGGTTTTCTTTTCCCTTATTAATCCAAACTACCTAAATACCAATCATGAAAAATGGACTATATTGCTACAAAAAAGGATGACTTTTCTCCTTCCAATTACTGCTAGAAGATGAATAGAAGTAATGATAGCTAATGATAACTGAAGTATATTGTATCTATCTCCTTTGTTTTATTTTAAGGAATAAGCCAACAACCCGATCCTGCATTTAGTAGAGTATCAAGCCCTCCCAATCCAATGGTGTCATCAAGAATTGGACCCTCCCAGAATCCTATGCTGCAGCATCCTCAGTCAGCAACAATGTACCAGTCCTCAGAGATGAAAGGCTGGCCCTCAGGAAGCATCCCCAGAAACAGGTGAACTTCAGGATTACAAACTGTTTCTCAAAAAGTCAGTCATTTTGCTGAAAGTAGAAACTATGTTAAATAGCATGCAGCAGGAAAAGCATTTACAAGAGACAAAAGTAACTTTCTAATGTCTGTATTGTCCTTCATCCTGCTCTGGTTTAGGAAATAAAATTATTATTTTATCCTTAGCTCCCTTGATTCATATTGGACCTCTACAATCTTTGTAACCAGAAGCAACATTCAGTCTTTAAATATTAACTTAATATTTAAAGAAAAAATAACTTGGGGAGGGGGTGGAGAAATACAGAATATCAAATAGTATTACGATAGATGATACAGCTCTAATAGTAGCCTCCAAAAAGATTGCATTAGGCATACACGTACAACTGCATTTCTAAAAACTCAAATTCCTCTTGGGAGGGGAGTTTCCATGTTTAACAGATATTAGGTAAAAACGAGTAAATGTGAAAACAGTTTTATATTTCACAGCTGGTTGCAGGGAAGGCAATACATCAGTGTGTAGATTTCTTGGAAGGTAATTTCATTTGTCCTTTTGTACTTCAGTTCTTTTCCCCAGCAGCAGTTCAGCCATCAAGGTAGCCCAGCAGCATACAGTATGATGCACATGAATGGCAGCAGTGGCCATATTGGACAGATGAGTATTAATACCATGCCTATGTCAGGACTGCCTATGGGTCCAGACCAGGTAAGATTTGCTGACTCTTTTTCTCTTGAGTACAGTCTGCTTACATCCATTCCTCCTTCACAATCCTGTTCTCAGTTATCCTGTTAGTATCTGTGGTCCTATTAATTTTATGTCCTAAGAGATACTTTCTTTTTGATGATACATAAGCAAATTCACAATGAGGCCAAGCTGTATGCTGGGATTAGCTTTGAAGGTGACTTTGAAGTATCATGGATAGGACCAAGCCTTAAACTGCACAAAGGATGATGAAATACTTCTGGACTTGGAGAAACCCCAGGAAAAAATCCATGGACATTGTGAAATGCATCTTCACCAGATACATGTAATAGCTCTTACAAGTCAGGCTAAGAATCCTGCTAGTGCAGTATCCTTCTCGCAGACACTGATAATGATACTTGCCCTTACAATACCTTAGAATAACTTGTATATGCATAGCCAGAAACAACGGAAAATTTAGACCCCTCATTTAAGATGAAAATGTGCTAATAACAGGCACTGAAAAGAAAGCTGAAATACAAAATACACTTTTGCCACAGTCTTTACACAAAATGCCTGATGAGCAACATAATACTGACAAAAGCTAATCTATTCAAGTAAAAAGTACCTCATGGAATTTTGTACAGCATACCTGAGGAAGGAGTCAGAATAATGAGGACTTCTGGGGGTGAATAAAGTTTTGGAGGACTTTGATACAATGAATGCCTTTTATAAGTCGGAGAATATAAAGGTGAAATGTCAGATTTTCCAAATCTATATGACATAGAGATACCCAAATAGTGTGTTTAGGAAATTCTAGGACAGCATTTATCTTCTAGAAATTTATTTTCAAAGTGGAGCACTAGAAAGCTCTTCTGCTTCTAGGCATTGATTGGCAGTAGTTCCTTCTTCCAAATGCAGAACATAAACCATTTCTTTCAGCAAAGATATCTTCTCTGACGAAAGTATCTTTTCTTTAACAGAAATACTGCTGACATCTAGAACCACATCTTCAAACAAGAATGGTTGAATGCACTAGTGTTATAAAGGAAAGTGACACATTCTTCATGGCAAGTCATACTGGGCTTAACAGAAACCAGTGATAAATTTCGTCATCCAGAGGAAAACAAACGAATAAAAACCCCTACCCCAACAAAAATACATTTTGGTAGAAGCAGCCTATGAATTACTGATGATGTGGGGTACAAAAAAATGTCATTAATATTTTTGGCACTCTTCCTCTAGGAATGTGAATTTGGTAATGCCATTTTAATAGATTTGATGAGTAGACTCCTGGAATACTTTATCTGTTTACTGTAGCTATCCAAAGCCCTTTAGCCCAGGCAGACAAAAGTGCCTGGAGAAGTCACAGTGGTAAGAATTTCCTGATTTCTCTTATAACAATATCTGACAGAGAATGTAGTTCTTAGCCTTCTCTATTTTATAAGAATCCCTGAATAGAAATGCTGCTTTTAGTCTCTTATCCCAAGAGTCAGGGATTTCGCAAGCAAAGTAGCAGTGCAAAATTATTTGGCATGTGCTAGTCCAAAATCCTGTCTGTTGAAGCCAAGGGTTGAAAAGAGAGGATAAACAATTTAAATTATTTAAACACAACTGTGACTAATATTTAGATATTGCTGTGCAGCTGAGTGCACTTTATAGAGGACTATATAACGGATTGATGCAATGTCTTTGATAAGGACTTAATATGAAGGTAGGGTGTACTCATATTCCTTCACAAACACAATCTCTTAAAAATTATTTGAAAAAACTGCATAATGTAATGTTTTCTGTGTGTGGAAATTAGAGCAATAATCTTTCATCTTTTTTTGAAAAAAGCTTCAGAAAACTCAAGGCAAGACACTGCAGCCCGAATCAGAATTTTGCAGTCTTTTTTTGTGAATAAATTTTGTAAATATGATCTTTAAAATAATGTATTATACATATGACTTTTATAGGTCACTAACTCATTTTTGCAGAGTTTGTGAAACTAAACGTTTAACAAAATTGATTCTGGAAACTGAGTGTAGCTGAGGTCCAAATTTTTTTTTTTTAATTACATTTAAGGACTTTGAAGCTGGGTGACTTTGGCCCACATATTTATCTTCTTTGGTCTTCAACACTTCATTTATTTTTACATGTTTTAACATAGAGCTTTTTATAAAAAAATAGACCAGTTGTTGAATACTTTCTCCACCTCTGAGCACTTTTGTTACATTTTTTACCTAAGGCAGTTTGACACGAAGGCTCTGCTCTGTAAGATCTTACAATTTGTCAGGACAGACCTGTCTGTCTATAACAGGTTGCCTTTTCAGCTGATGAATCTGGATCTTTTGGTCAATTTTAATGAACTCTAAACCTTCTTTGAAAATGTTTGTCTGTTGCAAAATACTTGGTATTATGTTACATCCAGAAATCTTTAAGGATATTAAGCCACATTTTAACCAAATGTCTACACCTCATTGGATTATTCTAATAGTAACGAATGTATTTTCTAAGCAGATTTCTGTCATAGCAGTATTTAGGTGTTGTTACATATTCTTTGCTGATAGCACTGGGGGATTTTTCCCCTTCCATTGTGGGTGCTTGAAATGAAGATCCCTTTGCACTTTTTGCAATTACAAGGAATTAAACCGCTAAACCTTCCTAAGGGATGACCCAGAAATGTTTAAGGTGTGTGATGCTTCTGTTACGTTGTTCATTGTGTAATGGAAAACTGATTTCTCCCAACTGAGTAAAAGAAACCAAAAATCCCCTGACCTGTGTTATTTTTTGCTTATTCTTGGTACTGTTAGCAAGATGAGGTTTTATTGTTCAGACTATTCAGTGATTTTCCATTTTAATAGAAGTAAGTTTCACTAGAAATAGTCTCATAAATTCATCCTTAGCACCTAGCCAGCTGTGTTTCAAAGAGAATGTAGAGTCAATCATGCTACTTCATGTAACCCTGTCTCTTCCACTAGTACTGAGTATATTGATTATCACAGCACTTGCTTGGAATTTTCCATCCGATTAATGTGTCTTTAGAATGCAAAACTTTTAAAAGCCTAAGAAACTTTTATCTTTTCACTTCTTGGATCATATCTATTTGTTGAGTAAGTGCTGCTTACTGAGGGTGAAAGGCAACAGTCCCTTGCATTTTATATCAAATCAGACCAGAACAATATTTATATTTTGTAGTTGGTCATTATACTGATGGAAGCTACCAACACCAGTTGCTTTCATTAGGTGAGCTCTTAGACTATATACTGCTACATACATCTTGCAGTACAATTTTTTTTTAAATTAGTAATTCTATTTATACATCTATGTATAACTGGTACCTACCTGACTGGCATTAGAAAACCTCCTCCTTTTCTCATAGGTTTAGCATGTTGGAGCTTTCCAGTACCTACTTTTTTTTTCCTGAATTAAAAGATGTTTAGTTTAAACTTGATGAAGGGGCAGCAGGCATTTTTAAAATGCATTGACAGCGTATTTCGTGGCAGCACCAACTAGTACATCTGGTTTGAAATCTGTTGACATTTAGTTACCACCATCAATTTTGCTTTGGTCCTATAGCAGTGCATTTTTGTGGATGTTTTTTAAAATAATACCCACATAACATTATTCAGCAGTAAGAGATGAATTAGCTAGTACAGCAACCTCTGATCACTGCTGCATAAATGACCATTGTTTTGCTGTGTCTCTATTACTTTTTTGATCACATGTGTTTATTAAACTTCCATGTAGAGCACTTTTTTCCTTGGCCTAAAATACTGCTTCTGAAGTGAGAAATTCAGACCACATTTTTGTCACAAGACAAAACTTCCTTGAATGTTGCACCAGTTAGCACACCTTTTATTATAGAATTTATGTGCAGACCACCAGATGACAAAATGATACAGCAAGTGTGAAACTATGTAAATCTGAGAGCAATATTTTAAAAAAATTCTCAGGAGAAGGCATACGGTATTGAGAACTGAATCTAAGCTTAGTTTACATTACAAGTATTGCTTGAAATATCTGTATCTTTATTTTGCAAAACAGAGAAATCATAGGGACTGATTTATGAAAGGGTTGGTTGTAAGGTGTTACTGCCCTTCTGGTTTTTGTTTGGATGTTAATAATAATGTAAATAAAGGTTTCTATTTATAATCAGAACTTGGTGACACTGTATGAGCTAATACTTTAAGGGTGATTATCCAGTACAGGTCAGAGAAAATTCCCTGCTATCACTGATGAAAAATGTATATAAAGAATGATTTACATTTTATCCTAGTTGGCCGTAAAAGCTGAGGGAGTAACAGCTGAGACCTTTCATTTATGAGACACACATTCAGCACAAACACGAACTAGAATTTATGTCTACTTAAACAGCAAACTCTAGAAGAGCTGAAAGGAGAAGAGGTGGTATCTTTCCCCAAACTTGGCAACAACGTACCTTTCATTAAATACCAGCTGCTTCTTGTGTCACATACAAGTCTCACAGCTCACTATTTTCTATAAAGGGACAAGATAACTTTTCAACCTTCTGCCTGACAAGTAAGTAACAGGTGCGGTAACACTGGCCCTGCAGGATTTTAACAGTCACAACCTCACCTTGCCAGAGACTATGAGCTAAATACAAAAGGGCAGATTTTTCATATTCTTTCTGCATGCACACTGGGAATGTCAGATAGCTGAAACTTCTCTGGAAAGCAGAAAAAATCTGGGGGTTTTGGGGAACTTAAGGGTTTTTTTACTTATGTGTGTGGATCCAGGATCTCATAATCTAGTAGATTTTTCTGATAATCCATGAAATTTTTAACAAGTTTAATGAAAACACATGGCAAGATTAAGACAGACATTCAGATTTTACTTGCATAATTAAAAAAAGCTTGCAAGAAAGCTTTGGGTAGTGGATTTGACTTACCACATGTCATACAAATACTCAAGCCCAATCTTACTTAGCATATATGAAGACTCCACTTCTGCTTTTTGAGCGGGGTTTTTTCCCCCCATTCCTAAATTCAAGTACATTTTTTGAGTATGGGGTTGTGATACCAGGGATCTACATGTCTGGATATAATTCCACTTGATTTTCCGAATGGCAAAACCAGGAAGGGTTTCAAAATAACTTTCATGCTGTATTTTTACACTGCATTTCTACAAGGGCAAGTTAAGTTTGCATTTTGAAAAAATACCTCTTTGTTAGGAGTGAAGGCCACAGTTGGTTGAGTCTGTCCCATAAGCACCCTCAGGCATTTGCCCTTAAACACAGGTAGCAAAGTAACATGAAACAAATGATAAATACAAATCTCACCATTAGTACCTGTACTACAACTTATGTAATAATGTTCTTATGAAACTACTGAAATAATTATGTACACTGTGCTTTCTTAGTAAAATTATAGGGTGTTTTTCCTGTAAAAACCTTTGAACAGTAACTGTCATTCACAACATTTACTTTTCTGCAGACTAAAGTGTAACTAGATTATTGACTACAAGTACTGAACTCCCAGAGCTGCCTTTTTAAAAAATAAATGTAAAAGTTACACTGCTAAGCAAACACTACTTTCTCAAAGGAACTGTTCTAGTTTTGAATGTACAGTATAATATTACCACATAAAAAACCTTCATACAAATCTGATTGTGTTAAAATTTAAGATGTACATTTACTGAAATTTTTCAGGACCTTTAGAAATGAATAAATTCTGACTTAGCATTTTGAGAAATGGCGTGTGGGCATTACACTCTTTTTTATTAATAAATTTCTTCACAATGTGAAGGAATTTATTTTCAAACAGTACACTGATCAATATTTACACAATCCCTCAAAAAATCTGGCATCCTTTGAGTGAAGATTAGAGAAAATCTTCATAGAGGTGACAATACAATGAACAAGTAGATGTGGAACTAAAATGTATCCTCAGAGGAAACTGAAGAAATTCCATGGTGTTGAGAACACTTGGTGCTACTGACTTCAGTTCCTGAATCTTTTCAGAGTTCTCTTGAACATTACCTTTACCCCAGTGTTAAGCAAATGCACCTCTGTTTTCTGAATCTTGCTTTAGGGTTGTACTTGGCTTTGAAGTTTTTCTCACGACAACTAAAGATAAAGGTGAACTGGAAATTGTTTTAAGGTCCTGTCAACTGTTTGTGTAAACACTGCCACTGCAGGGGCAGTCCTCTTTGGGATGTGGCTGAGTTTCCTCCTCTGTCAATTCCTGAATCAGCGTTGTCTTCTTGAAGTAAAATGCCTTGTGAATTAGGTGAGGTATAATCCAAAGCAACAAAGCAGGTACAACAGTGGATTTCAGAGACCTGTATTTCTGATGGCATTTCCCATAATTTCACTGCTTCTATTGAACTCACTCACCAGTGCAAACATTGTATCTATTTCAGCCTCAAACTTTATCCAGTCCTTCAGGTGAATGTTATAATTCATTTAGTCTGTACATGGATTCAAGTCCTGCCCCGTTTGTATCCTCATGGAGGTGCAGCAGCTGTGGGAGATTAGCCCTCCCAGCCTTCCCACAGTTGTCCTCTTTAAAATAAAACAAATGCAGTTTAGTGTATAACATTGTAGTAGAAAGTAATAAGAAAGGTATTTTTAATGGCTCCATGCAGTAAAAACCAATGGAAACACTGTGAACCACCAATAAAAGCATAGCAAGTGTATGACAGAAACAATTCAACAGTGTTTGAAATTTCAACCTGTACAAAGCTTGTTAATTCCACCTTCATTTTGGTTCTAAATCCAGTCTTAGATCTCTTCAATTAGAAATAAAACCACTGCATTATATAAGCAGCTCTCAGGCAAAAAGACTGTGCCCAGGAAGGGAGTTGCACCTGTGTTTTCCACTGCACAGTTTGAGAGCACTTCATGATTTTTAATGAAGTCTCTGCTTTCTTTTTAAGGAAAGATTCAGAGACAGTAACAGGCAATGGTAACTTTTTAATAGACTTAAATTTGTACCTCATCTTTTGAGCTCTAGCAGTTTGAGAACTGCCAGATCATCGCCACATTTTAAAAGGCACCTCAGTAAGAAAAAAGCAGTTGCAGATACAAATCTGTCTTATAATCTACTTTCTGTTTTAAATTCTTTTTTCTGCTCACAGCACAAAGGCTGTGGTTGGATAAAGGGCAAGAAAATACATGATGCTGCCTCACTACTTGTGAGAAATTACAGTCAGTTTTGTTCTTTCTGGATTGTGTGAAAAACTACTAGGTAGCTGCTACTAGTTTAAGTTTAGACAAAACTAGTGTACTGGTCTTTAATTTTTATTGGCAACTGACCATAACTGGTTTCTTAACTGAGCATCTACCTTTACTGTT